GTGGTAGTACACGCCTGTAGTTCCAGCTACTTGGAAGGCTGAGGCGGAAGGATCACCGGAGCCCAGCAGGTCAAGGCTGCAGTGGTTGGAGCGGCCACTGCACTCCAGTCTGGGTGACAGAGTGAGACTCCAACTCAAAAAAAAATACAAGCAACTGGTTGGGTGTAGTGGCTCAGCCTGTAATCCCAGCACTTTGGGAGGCCGGGGCTAGAGGATTGCCTGAGTCTGGGGGTTCAAGACCAGTCTGTGCACCTTGGTGAGACCTCATCTCTACAATAAATAAAAAAAAATAAGTCAGATGTGGTAGCACGTGCCTGTAGATCCAGCTACTTGGAAGACTGAGGTGGAAGGATTGCCTAAACCCAGCAGGTCAAGGGCTGCAGTGGCTGTGAGTGTGCCATTGCACTCCAGCCTGGGTGACAGTGTGGGACTCCAACTCAAAAAAAAAAAAAATACAAGCAACACTGGCTACAAAACAAAAAGACAAACATAGGAAGAATATTTGTGGGAAATATGGCAAGATAGTGACACTTTTATCATCTAGAGCACCCAGGAAGTTGATCAGAAAAACAGACCTTGAGGATGAAATGGATGAAAGACATATACAGACAGGTTGCCCAAAGCAGAAACTGATTTGGTTAATAGGGCTTCTGAGCAATGTACAGCCTCAGTAATTAAATAAATGCAAATCAAAGTCACAGTAAGGAGATGCCGGCTCTCCAGTGTGGAGTCAGCATAGCCATGGAGGAATGCTGCTTGTCAGCACTTTGAGCATCTGGCCAGCTGGTGGGCATGGATGTGGCCCTTTGGAAAGTTGTGGATCTGCCTGTGGCTTCAGTTTTTTTAAAACATGGTTATGCCCTTTGACTCAATGACTTCAGCAGTGGAAGTCTATCCAGTCCTAAATACAGAAAAAACATTTCAACCAAAGGTGCTAGTGACGAGATTGTTTACATCTGAAAAACAAACAAAAATCCCAAAACAAATATACAGCAACAAAACAACCTAGTAGTGTGATAGTAAATAAAATATCCTCTGAATAGAATTCATAAAAATGACATTTTCTTGGAGATCAGGCAAATCTGGAAAATGCTTGATATGAGGGGAAATAGAAAAAAGTAGAGTATAAAGATTTGTAGAAAGTATAATAACTATGAAAAAAATTTTAATTTCAAAACAGCAGCAAAAACAGCCAGAAGAAAAGGCTGCAGAATGTTTAGCAGTGACAACCAGGAGTGGTTCTGAGGTCACGTGGGGTTTTTTCAAGAGTAGGTGACAGGAAGTGAACATAGACTCATGGAACACAACAGGTGTTCATGGCCAGGGTGCTGGGGGGGGCTTCTGAGGCCTAACCCCAAAGCACCAGGCGAAGGAAGAGCTGCAGAACCCAGTGTGGTGCTAACTCCCTCCCTCCTCACCCCGGGACTCTCTGCAGGTGACTGCATTCTCCTGTCTCTGAGATGACTTCCTGAGCCAGAAATGTGGCTGCCAGCAGGAGTATCTTCCTCAGGGAACTCCTCCCTTGCCCCATTCAGTGTGGATAATCTCAGGGGGGAACATTAACTGGCCCAGTTTGACTCCTGGTCCTAAGGTGGGCCCAGGCTGGTCACACGACCATGGGGCAGAGTTTGTTAACAGAAAGGAAGAGGATAGGATGCTGGTCAGAGAGAAGCAGTAACCACCACACTCTCACTCAGGTGCAAAGGCAGAATAAGGACGTTTCACATGTGAAAGCTCTTGAAAATGTACCCCTGTGCACCTTTTTTTTTTTTTTTTTTGAGTCAGAGTCTCACTCTGTCACACAGGCACACTCATGGTCACTGCAGCCTCGACCCACTGGGCTCAGGTGATCCGTCCGCCTCAGCCTTCCAACTAGCTGGAACTACAGGCATGCACCACCATGCCCAGCTAATTTTTAAAATTTATTGTAGAGAAGAGGTCTGACCAAGTTGCCCAGGCTGATCTTGAACTCCTGGACTCAGGCAATCCTCTCACCTCTGCCTCCCAAAGTGCTGGGATTACAGTCATGAGCCACCATGCCCAATAGCATGCGCCATTCTTTACAAAGCACTGGAGGAAAGCTGTTTTCCCACTTAAGGAGTCAACCAGGAAGGTAAAAGAGGTGGTCTGTGGAATACAGAGACTGAGCCTGGAAAGGTCATCATTGGAAATCTTTGGGGTGATGGTGAGGGGAGAGTGCAGGATGGCACCTGTGCCCCAAGTCCACAGGGCAGTCAGTCCTCATTGGGACACTGGACCTCAAGAGCAGGAAAGCTGAGACTGTCATGGCTGTGCCCCTCCCACCACGCTCATTTTTTAACCTGCTGAGCCCCCCAGAAGATGTGCTGTGCCTAGACAAGGGTAAACTGGGAAAGAGGAAGACATGAGATCCAGAACCTAGGGAATCAAAATCAAGAGAAAGGCAAGTGGGTTCCAAGGATGACACTAAAGGGGTGTCCCAGGATGACAGTCATGCTTAGAGAACAACTAGCCCAGGAAAAAGGAAAGTGGGGAACTCAAGGAGAAATGCAGCAAAGGAAAAAAAACAGGAGCTAAAAAAAAAAAATCCCAATGGGATTGACCCTGTACTAAATTGTACTAAAAGCTGATTGGATAAGTACAAATAAAACTAACAAGAAGGCAACTAATAACTTCAGAAAGCCAGGCACAGTGGCTCATGCCTGCAATCCCAGCACTTTGGGAGGTGGAGACAAGAAGATTACCTGAATTTAGGGATTTGAGGCCAGCCTGAGCAACATGGCAAGACCTTGTCTCTGTAATAAATCAAAAAATTAGCCAGGCATGGTGGCACATGCCTGTGGTTCCAGCTACCGGGAAGGCTGAGGCAGAAGGATCACCTGAACCCAGCAGTAGAGGCTGCAGTGGCCGTGATCATGCCACTGCACTCCAGCCTGGGAAACAGAGTGAGACTCTGACTTAAAAAAAAAAAAAGTT